TCGAATAATTGTGTAAAGCATGGTTTTACAATTGTGAAAAGATTAAACTTAGTATAACGAAAACGCTGTACGGAAAAAAGCGCCGAGATGCCAACAGAGAGGAGGGAGAGAGCGCACGCTCACACAAAGCACTGGCAGGCATCAAGGCAAAACATCAAAGAGAAGAGTGGTCGAAGGGCACACACAAACGATGGACGCTCAGTCAAGCATTTGAAAGACTAAATTGAAGGGCGTTGATGGCTTTGCAGATTTGCAATCTCCTCCATAAGGCAGTCGCGTTAATAGCGTCCCGAGTTTATATTTATTCACAGGATTGAGACAATGATTATAATGTTGTAAGGATTCCTTTTCCCAAAGTCAGTCTCAGGCTTAATGAGGTTGTTGTGATAGAAGCAATTGGTGTTCATTTTATGTCTCTGGGTGCGATAAAGGCGTCGGAAAGAGTATCAAGAGAAGTTGTCATTCAAGGATCTTATCAAGTGCATCCCCTCAGTAGCACCAATAAGAGTGGAAAACTGATCTAATCTGGCAAAACGACACCTAGGCCCTTACAATCATGTCGATTGGGGAAACGCTGAAGCCATTAACATAGAACTGAAATGGAATCATGATGTGATGAAAAGGAAATAGAAAGGAGTCGACGACTAAACTTAGACTGTCTCCGCAACTTTCGGGATAAGAGTTGGAACTCGAAAAGGAACACAATGGGATGGTCCAACAGTTGCTAGACTAACCTGACTCAACGATGTCCACTTTCCGCAGGTAAGGGGCTCTCAACTGCGCTATGAAGAGCATTGAACCGTCTTGGCTGACCTCGACATCGTGAGGACTTCGTAGATCCAAATCGAGAAGATTATAACGACTGTTAATTGTCCTGATGATGCTTTGGCTACTATTGCTAACTTGACTTCCGAGAAGGGGGCGAAAGACAAAGGCACTGTTTTTAGTGCCCTCTACATCTTCTTCTCCTGCGTCCAGAATTGCTGGAAGGTGTGTAATTGTAGTCGGCGTCACGTCCGTGGTTCCAGTGACACCAAACATCAGGCTGGATGAGCACAAGTGCTGGCATTAAAATCGTTGCAATTCACAAAAAACTACCTTTTGTACCAAAAAAAGCTTCATTTAACGAAGCTTACCTTATGTCCTTTTCCCAAAGTAAAAAAAGGGTTTATCAACTCATGCAGCAACTACGAACTGAAAATCATGAATGGTTTAGACCGTAGCCTGTTTCGACAGACTGAATTCAGAGATGTGTTGGTTCGAAGGGGCATGTAAATTATCAGTAGAAAAGGCAGTGCTATCAAAGATGGCAACATCAGTACAAAACCACCAAAAGCGCCTGCGTTCACAACTATTCTGGATTGAGAGAGTCTTGTCACCACTATTACGGGAAGACTACCAAACACAAAATAACACGTAAACGAGCTACTTCCCTTTTGATCAAGTAGGAAGCCTTAGACTATTCAGGCGA